AAGATATGTTCTGACCTCTTTTCTGGATCTTTTAGCATTGAAGAGAAGTGTGTTTGTCTTTATTTATGAGGTGTTAGAAACCAGTCTGCTCTAAGACCATAAGAGGGGTGGGGTCTGGAAACACCCTGTCCCACTGCAGTCCCCAGCCCTGGCTCTGCAGCAGTGTCCCAGTGGTCACGTAGGAACAATATGCAGAAGGCTCATTAAACCCCGGGCTGTGCCTCTGAACCAAGATCATTTACAAAACCATCCATTGACCCAAATCTTGGGTCTTTCCACTCTGATGAGCCAAAATGGGAAGCCAGGAGCAGGTGGGTGAAGGAAGGAGGGTGGAGACATAAACAGAAAGCAGAGAGAGAGGAATATGTTTACCCTGTGACCCACGCTGAATGTGGGAAGTGACCCGGGTAAGAAAGCAATCCGTCCCCCAGAGGTAGAGAAGGGCGATCTGGTCAGTTCTGGCCAACTTGACCCACTGTGGTAGTATATGGAGGCGTTAGCAAGGGGACAGTTGACCTCTCCCTGAGTAGGGACAGCCAGAGACGAGAACAGAGCACATCCAGTTCAACCCACAGGTCTGCGGGTCAGCAAGCTCAGGCCATGTTCCCAAGTCCAAGCCCCAGATTCAGCTTGCGGGCTCCCAGTGGGAGTGTGTGCAAAACATTCGGGTTCCTGAGTGATTAAGTAATACCCAGAGAGCTGGGCTGGGAGGTCCCCCAACTTCAAGGGCATCTCCAGCAAGATGAACAGTGCAACCCTGAATCGCGTGAGTCTGTTGTGGAGCTCTGTGTGGGAGGGGGCTGGTTCTCAGAGTAATAGGAGGCCCTCAGATAGCAGGAAGCTGCGCCCACTTTTGATCACACACTCTTTTCCTGGAAAGAGCCAGTGTACTGAGGGGACGCTGGTCCCACACCCATCGCCCACCACCAAAGGCGAGCCCTGCCCCCTGCTGGTTGCAGAGGGTCACTGACGTGCCCTGGAAGAGTCAGTGGCCCCCTCCTCCTGTTTGGCTGGGTTGGTGAGAGTCCTAAGAGGGTACGGTTGCCTGATAAAATATAGAGCACCCAGTTAAACCTGAATTTTAGATAACAGCAAATAATCTAGTATAAGTATGTCCCATACAATATTTAGGCTTTACTTAAAACATTTCTGCTGCTGTTTATTTAATATTTGAACATCACGATGTCCTATGACTTTATTTACTAAATCTGGAACCCCAGAAAGGCATGCCTGTGGTCAACACTCTAGAGTGTGTTGGAAGGAAAGAAACTCTGAGGATGCTAAGGGCAGACTGGCCCAGGCATCTGGGCAGAGAGAAGGGAATCCAGAGGACAGAGCTGTGAGGAGGAGCCAGGGCAGGACCCTTGCTTCTGCTGTGAACAAATCCAGGTTGGCTTGCTGAGGAATGGCACGAAGCTCAGCCGCCCCCACCCCCAGCCTCTTGTCACACTGTGGGTGAGGCCATCCTCCACCAGTGACTCCAGCTGACCCACCACAGTCCGTAGCCAGGCCAGGACTGCTTAGCTGGACTGCAGGTTCATGAGCTCAAAATGTCCTCAAATGTCCATCGATTTGACTCCATACATTTTGGGGTCTTTTGTTATGCAGCAAACAGTAATTGATACCAGAGAAAAGAAAGGGGTCTCGGGGATGGGCTTTGGGCATTGTAGACTGAGAAGGCAACAAGATGAATCATAGCACCCAAGGGCCACGTCCTGTCAGGTCCACTGTTCTCTCCCAGGACTGAGCAGCGAGTATCCAGGTCCTCAGCACAGGGACCCTGCCAGCCTGAAGGCCCTTGAGCAGGGGCAGGGAGCCAGGGTGGGGCTTGACCGAGGGGAACCACCCATTGGTTCACCACCTGAGCTGTGTGTCCTGCTCTGAAGATGGCTGGGCCATTCGACACCTTTCCTGGCAATTTGGAATTGGGGGCTTGTGGATGTCGTCACAGAGCTGTAGAACTACAGCCGAAAGGTCACAGATCAGTCGTTCAAGGACACATGTGAAATGTTCAAAAGAAAATGGAGCAGATGCAGAGAGGCCCCGGGAGGGAGAGCAGGGAGAGCTCAGTTCCCACCCTCAGCACTGGCCTGGGGCCTGGGGCTTCGCAGGGGGCCATCAGGGTCCAGGGAGCGGATACATTTTCAGGCTGGTGCAGGCAGAGCTGTGTTCACCTAAAGACACAGGGTCGCTCACAGGAGCCCAGCTGCAGGCCATACCAGCATCTGTGAAAAGGTGGAAACTGGTGAGTCACCCGACAGCTCTCAGTCTCTCCCACCCCACCCCAGTGGCCTCTGTCTCAATGCCAGACATCCTCCCAGCAGCTCTACCTGCATGGGTGGATGGGGTCTGTTTACATTACTGCAGGAGACCTGCATGAATCCCTACAAAGAATTGGGAAGAATTTAACACAAGATAAGAAGGCACCAAAAAAGACCATTAAAAGAAGTACTTTAAAATGCAGAAATGGAGGTCATCAATCAGCCCTGCCTGTGTGTCCTGAGCTCAGATCTCAGTTCTTGGCTTTTGATGCCAAGAGAAAAAGTTCTAAGCTACCCAGAGCTTTCAGGCACAGGAGACAGCAGAGCTCCGGGTACACATAGTGATGCATTTCCCCCTTCTTGGAATCTAAGGCCAGTTGGGTTTGTATTCACACAGTCCCTCCTGCTCTGCTGTGGGAGGGTGCAGAAGTCCTGTCTTCACGATCGATGCTCCCAGTGGCTTTTTGAAGGTCAAGTATGTGCCAGGATATCCAACTCCATTGGCCAAGTTGACAGAGTGACTTGAACAAGTGGCTTCTGAGTTTGGGACTAAAGCTTCAGGCAAGCGAGCTAAATAGGAAACTGCCGTCCCTCAGAGAGCTGTCCCCGAGGAGCAGTGGGCGCCGTGGCTAGTGACGTCATGGGTGTGGTGCCACCCACTGTGTGGCTCAGGAATGAGACACAGCCACTCGGCAGTGAGGGCTTTTCAGCTCCACAAAAGCTGCCTTTGTGAATGTTTAATCACGAGTCACCCGTGACCATCGTACAAGCCACGACAGCAACGTGAAAAGTAAACTGCGGTCATCCAAAAATGCACCCCTAGGGACGCACCTGACCGGCTCTTGGTCACATAGTTTTTCTTATAGAAATACAAGTGATGCTTTTAAAATACACACACTTAACAAGATGGGATCCTGTTGTGATAAATGCTTTTGAGTTTCTTTGTCATATTATTTTAATGACTTTCACATTCTATTTTTTTGAGGAGTGGCATGTGTTTTTCGTTTGCAATTCTCCTTTGATGGACTCTTCAGTTGTTTTTATATTTTTTAAACACCAAGAGGGACCTCGGTTGTCCAGCTGGACACATAAGGAGATGGAAAGGCTCCACCCCCTCCCAGGAAATACAGTCAAAAGCTGAACCGACTGAGGGATCCAGAGCGCCTCTGGGATCTGTGAGACGGGGAGGACGCAGGGAGGCTGGAGAGACCTGTGGGAGGTGCAGGGACCCACGACTGACCACAGCTGAGTCCATGAGCAGAAGCTGTCCTGGGAACCAGTGCGGGCCAGGGAAACCTGACCCGTAGCTGGTGAGTCCTGGAGGCTCTGTGCAATGACTCTCAAGTGTTAAATACTGGGGGGATCTGCCTCAGGGATCCCACATTTTTATGATTTTAAAATCCGGAGCTTGACGAGTTCTCACGGTGAATGTTGAAGATCCCTGCGCTTCCAGCAGGTGGAGGGGGAAGTTGTGAAAATCCACTCCTCGTCCTGACCCTCAGGGTTGCCTTCAGGGGAGGCCAGAGAACCAGAGCCTCGCCTGCCTGGGGAAGGAGGCTCAACTCCAGCTGGCTCTGGCCATCCACCTGTCCCACCCACCGAGGAGGAGGGAGGACCCCGGAAGCCCCTGGGAAGTCCACAGTCCGGAGCACCAGCTGGTTGAAAGACGGGGCCATCATCACCGCCCCCAGAACTCTCCTGCTGCCAGGCCCCTGAAGGCCCATTCATGGTTCCGTTTCCTGGTGTGTCATGTCCAGCTACTGAGAAAAAATGACAAGTTATGCTAAGAGCAAAAACCATGAAATTAGGAGGCACAGCCAGCATCTGAAACAGGCATGGCTGGATTCATCAGACCAGGAATCTAAAGAGTCAGTCTAATATGCTCAGAGTCCTAACAAGGAGGCAGCGACCAGGAACAGATGCCAACCAGGCAGAAAGGTGGCGGTGCTAAGAGCCCAA